TTGCCCTCATCATTCTCAAAACATTTCCTCTCCACTTAAGCCCCCGGCATTAGGTCCTCATTTTTCCCCTCCCTCCCCACACCCCCCCAACCATCAGTCCTGTTGTTTTCTCCTCTAGATTGTTTATCCAGCCTATCTTATGTTGTAGTTTTATGTGAAAGAACTGTTTCCATAAATACTTATGTAAGTAGACAGCCTCATCTTTCTCCTATGGCGTATCAGGTGGATTTGAACTGCTGGCCTTGTGGTTAGCAGCCCAACACGTAGGCTCCAAAGGGAAAACTTGATCTCTCTAGACAGGTAAGTTGGCTTCCAACCTGTTTCACCTGCTACTTATTCATTATCTTACAGTCCAACTCTGCTCTTTACTAGTATTAGGTGACTTAAAAAAAGAAGAAAAGATAAACCTTTTATTTAAAACCACCAGCTTTTGGCAGTAAGGTTTATTTTTACCAATTGTGACTCATTGATCAAGCTCCTTTAGGGACCTTTCTAGTCACATCATAGGGGGATGGGGGACTTACCTTAAATAGAAGCAACTAGATAAAAGGCAAGTGTTACTGAGATAACTTTCCAGTCCATTAACTGAAAATCTTACATTTCAAATGGCATCTTATTTTAGAAATTGTTACGTGTTTAGTGCAGAGGTGGACAAACTTCAGCCCTCGAGCTATATGGGCTCTTTCAGTACATACATGTGGCTCTGAAGTAGAATTGACAAGTTTTAAAGGATGTAATTCAGATAATGGTGATTTCATTTGTTTGTGAAAATATATTTATGGCGAATAATTTTAAAATTGTTGTAAGGGACAGGATTAGCTTTTCCATCTCAAAAGTTTGCTGGTCTAGTGGGTTACAATTATCAGTATATCCAGCCTGAATTTTTCAAGTCAGCCTTTGAATTCTAAGGAAAGTAAAAACAACGTAAGTATTGAAAAATATGTTGTCAGAAATAGAAATTATAAAGGAAATACTATTTGTGAAGTTTTTAGAGGGTGTATATTATGGGTTTTTACAAGTTGCACGTTAAATGCGTCATTGATTATCAGTGGTAGAGAATTTATGGAGTCCTTTGAAGAGAGAGAGAAAAATACTTCATTTCGTGAAGAACAGGACTTGGGTGTGTGGTCCAAGTAGTGGTGAGTGTTTTCTTCTCTGAAAATGATGGCCAACGCCATGACTCCCAGTGCACAGGTAACATTACCAAGCAGTCCAGGCATCGGCACCTAAGGCCAACGCCATGACTCCCAGTGTACAGGTAACATTAACAAGCACCTAAGGCCGACACCATGACTCCCAGTGCACAGGTAACATTACCAAGGAGTCCAGGCATCGGCACCTAAGGCCGACACCATGACTCCCAGTGCACAGGTAACATTAACAAGCAGTCCAGGCATCAGCACCTAAGGCCGACACCATGACTCCCAGTGCACAGGTAACATTAACAAGCACCTAAAGCCGACACCATGACTCCCAGTGCACA